ATAAGAACAAAAGAACAAGTTTGTGAGGGCTCCCACTAGATAAATCTGAGACAATCTGAGCACCAAAAATATTAAGGATAGTAATAAATTATCAACTATTGAAAGAAAATAGATAGCTACATCAACAGATGGACAGATAAATAGATGGGGAGAAGTGCTCTTAATTACAGTAAGATGCCAAGTGTTAATTGGAAAATGTGGAGGAGTGCTACTTTTATAAAACTGTTATTTTGAACATAGTAAAAACTGGTTCAGGCAAGCATCATCAATGAATGCTAAATTGTAGGTGATAATTTTGCTGAAAAGCAATCTATACTAATAAAAGGGTAATATGCTAATTAGACCGGATGTCTTCTGGACATCCTTCCGAACAAAGCCACAGTGACTGCGAGGGCCGAGGAGGGCCGGCAGTGGCAGCAGCAGAGGGGTGATGGGGGCGGCGCCTTTCCCTGATTGGCGTGGTCATCTCCCGCAGAGGGAGGACAGAGGCAGCAGCGGCGGCGGGGTGGTGGGGGTAGCACCTTCCCCTGATCAGCCTGGTTGCCTCCTGCAGAGGGAGGCCAGACTACGGCTTAGGCCTAAGCCATCAGTAGGACATCCCCTGAGGGCTCCGGGACTGTGAGAGGGGGCAGGCCGGGCTGAGGGACACCCCCTCCCCCCAGTGCATGAATTTTCATACACCGGGCCTCTAGTCTATATATATATAAAAGCCTAAGAGACCAGATGGCCAGACAACCAGCCAGTAGCTATGATGCGGACTGCCCACCAGGGGGCAGACACTCAATGCAGCAGCTGCCCCCTGGGGGTCAGTGCGCTCCCACAGTGGGAGCACAGGAGCGCCGCTCAGCTGACGGGCCACTGACTGCTGGCGAGCACAGCTGCAGCAGCGCTAGCCTCTCCTGCGGACACTCCCACTGCAGGCGCAGCAAGGCCGGGAGTAGCGAGGTGCCCAGCCCGGGCTCAGGCTCCTCCCCAGCCGCCTGCTGCTTCACGCACTACTTTGTGCTGTGTGGGATCAACGTGGACAGCGGGCTGGAGCCTGACAAGCTGGCGGGTGCGCAGAGGTCCACTGATCCCTGCAGGCCAGGCCGAGGGACCCCACAGGTGGACGAATCTGTGCACTGGGCCTCTAGATTGCTTATAAGATGCAAGGGAAAAAAACAGTAACTGTAGAGCAGCGGTTCTCAACCTGTGGGTCACGACCCCTTTGGGGGTCGAACAACCCTTTCACAGGGGTCGCCTAAGACCATCGGAAAACACATATATAATTACATATTGTTTTTGTGATTAATCACTATGCTTTAATTACGTTCAATTTGTAATAATGAAATTGGGGGTCACCACAACATGAGGAACTGTATTAAAGGGTCGCGGCATTAGGAAGGTTGAGAACCACTGCTGTAGAGTAATGAGATAACATGAGATAATACCTTAATTGGGTGATCAAAAGTAACATCAATGAAGGGCAGAAGATGTGTACCTGGATGTGCAGAACCCTATGGAATACATAATCTAAATCTAATCAGGAGCAAGCATAAGAAAAACCCAAAATGAGAAACAATATATAAAAAAATAAGAGGAATGGAAAATTGTGTTCTTCAAAAATGTCAATGTCATAAAAGATAAAGGAAGACTGTGGAAATGTACCCAGGTTAAAGGACACTAAAAAGACATGACAACTAAATGCAATACCTGGTCCTAGACTGGATAGAGTACTGAAAAAAATAATTAGAAAAGGAAAAATTCAGCAGAGAAATTTGACCCTATATAGATGAAATAGCTTAACCTACAAGAAATATTTATAGATGCTTTACAGATGTGATTAAAAGGTCCTAAAGAGAATTCAACCAGATTCAACATAATCAAAGCACTGCTTCAGAGCAGTAATAAATGAAACTATTAACAAATAATCTAATTCAATCAAAACCACCAACTAAAAATTTTATAAAATTTTCCTCCAATTCCATAAAATTTTAGCTAATAGTTGATCCACATCCATAAATGTTTTCCTTTCTCAAACCTAACTTGCAAAGTTACACACACACACAGCAACAGACTAAAATATAACATTACTGAAACCAATAAAAAGTCAAAAAATCTAAGAAATTCTGACATTTTACCATTACACCTGGAAGTTCGCCCTTTGATTACTAAGTTAAATACACTTTTCAAAATACATAAATTCCATCATCATGAACATTCACCTTCAAAGTAAAAACTTAAAAAAAAAAACACAACAGACCCTACAGATCAGTATCTATGTTAAATATGATTGTTGTTAGTGGTCTTTATCACATTAAAATATTCAGCCCTAACCGGTTTGGCTCAGTGGATAGAGCGTCAGCCTACAGACTGAAGGGTCCCAGGTTTGATTCTGGTCAAGGGCATGTACCTTGGCTGTGGGCACATCCTCAATAGGGGGTGTGCAGGAGGCAGCTGATGAGAGAATCTCTCTCATCGATGTTTCTAACTCTCTATCCCGTTCCCTTCCTCTCTGTAAAAAATTCAATAAAATATATTTTTTTTTAAAAAAAGAGTCCCAGGCAAGTGGGAAAAATACACATTTATAAAAAATATATTCAACTTATGGAATATCCTAGTAGTTGGCAGTGAGGAGAGGCTCTGGATTCAGATTAGCTGAGTTCAATTTCTGGCTCCACAATTTAGCATCCTTGGGCAAAAGATGTCATTTCTCAGTGCCTCAGTTTTCTAATCTATAAAATGGTATAGTCATCTCATAGATGAATATACACCTCATAGGATTATGATAACTAAACAGATGCTGTATTAACACATAAAAAGTGCTCAATGTTAGCCATTATTTCTGTTTACACACACTTAAAAGTGTCATATTCTGATAGCCATTAAGATGGCTTCTATGGAAAACAGTATGATAGTTCCTCAAAAATTAAAAATATAGCTACCATATGATCCTGCAATGTTGATTTACAGGTGTAAAGTACATTATCACACTATTTCAAAAACAATGGTGTAGGTGCAGAGGAAAAAGAAATCGTATTGACCTAAATATTTTCAAACACTGAATAAAGGCTAATAAATTAATCTAAATTCAGCAAATAAAAAGAATGCACATATTTGTCAACAATTCAATTACAGAATGTAAACACACAAAAACCTCTACTAAATCTACCTGTTTCAAAATTCCTAAAATCTATTACTTTCCTTAAACCAAAATCTGATACCACATCCCCCCGCCAAAAATTAAAACATAATTAAATCTAAATATCAAAGTAAATTCACAACCAACAAAATTATGCAGGACAAAGATTCACAAATGTAACCTTAATAATTAGGAAACTAATTCTATCAGAATTCAATTATGAATAAGAATAGATAAAAACATTCAAAATAGGCAAGGCAGAATATGTAAAAAAAAATTTTCTCCAAACATAGCAAATCTACCTCCAATCTACAGAGAAATCTAAGCATAGACGGTTTGGTTACTTCACTAAGCAACTAATTTTCTTAAGTTGCAGACTTCACACAGAGGAAGACTGCATCTGTCTCTGTCTACAACTATATGTAAAAGAGGACTTAATACTCATACTACTTTTTTAAACAGTTACCCCACAAAACAAAACATTCCTAGGTTTAATGTTGGTTTAGAAAACCAAAAAACAAAAAATTATTTTTCCTTTCCTTTTTTTTGCTGTTTTTACAGAAGAATCCAATTTGATCATCCATTTGGACCTTAAACATCAGTTTAGAAATTCAAATATAAAATATGTTCATCAGTTTAAAGGTAAAAAACAAAAAACAAAATGTTGATTAATTTTTAAGGTGTCAGATATATAGCAGTTCATTATACTGTTCTCTCTAGTCTTGTATATTTTTTAAAGTTTATAATAATGTTAAATTTTAAAAACTTATTCAGGTGTATTGAGTGTTTTTAAAATCTTCTTTAATTCTAAAACAAATTTAGTAGAAAACACCAATTTACCAGCAAGTTATTTCTGAGTACACTAACTTGAAGGTGGACCTCAAATCACATCAAAAGTTTATCTATCAACAGATAGATGAGATGTAAAGCCGTATCTACTTGGAAGTTACTGAGGAAATAACTATAATGCAATGAAGTACAGGTCTTATTTTAATAAGTTATATAGTCAGTGACTAATAAAAAAAATAAAATGTTATTCTTAGAATTGGAAGAGACAAATTTTTAGTTCAGTGGTTTGCACACTTTTCGAGGTAACTGGAGGAGAGGGCCAGAGACCAATCACCTTGTTTTATATACTGGTGATTGTTTACAAAATATAAGATTTTGTTTTAAAAAAGGACCTAGCTATTTTTTTAAAAAGTCTTAAAACCACTATTCCACTGCATCCACATTCTAGGTAATATATTATCTAGAAAAGGTTATATAATTTATGTACTATCATTCAGTTAATGGCAGGGTCAGGAATAGAATGCAGGACTCTTATTTGTTCAGTTCTCATTTAAAACAATGCATCACTTCAAATTTAAGTTACAATTAAGAATACAACTCTGTTTCAATGTTCTTGCCTGTAAAATAAGATTGGACAAGATCATCTCTAAGGCCATTTTCAGATCTAAAATTCTGAATGCCAAGTTTAAACAGAGGTCTGTGTTAAGGTAAATGAATGTTCTGTGACTCTTCAAACATTTTCAAGGACTCCAGAGAAATACAAGTCAAATACGGAAAGCTAACAGTTACTCAGTCGTTACCTTTAGGGTGCTGAAACATTTCTGTAACTACACCCTCTTTTAATAGTTAATACTAGGACAGGAAACATTGTTTTCGAAGACTACTAAAATAATCATAGTGAAAGGCTGTCTTAGATATCTTTGGAAAGAATATTGGCCTATCGAAATATATACCTCACTGGATGTTCAAGTTACTGAATGCCTCAAAGAGAACCAAGTACATCACTCTCTTAAGTTTAAAATAAGTTAAATCAAAGGAACATTAAGCCTAGCTGACACATAATGGTCACAAATAAAGTTTTAACTCCCACCTATTAAAGCCTGAAAGAGGTTGCTCTGAAATATGTTAATAACCCGTTCTATGGAACTTCTGAGCTGTCTGTCTTCAGTTTGGCTTAGTTTCGAACGATACTCTTCCAGAAGTTGCAATGCTCTCTGGGTATCTGAGGGAAAAAAGAGAGTCTGATTAAAATTATTTTACAAGGAAGTATTACACAGTAGCTGTGCAGCAAATGATTCTGCAAGGCATCTATACAGTTCCCAAATCCTCCTGGTCAACTGATGCTACCATGTTCATGCACACCTCTATTCCTTAGAATGAGTCAAAAAATTTAAATATATGTCACAGTAGAGAAAGGAGGAAGGTACGTGGTTTTAATAAATGTGTACTGGTAGTCTACCACAATAAAAGATCATTTTAATCAAAGTATTGGTAACAGTTGCAGCCGATCTGATATGCAAAAGCAGATAATCTATAATTTGTCATTATAACCCAAATATTAACTGTTTCAAAATAATAGTTTTTTGCCAGTATCCCACACTGCTCAAAATAGTGTTTAGTAAGAATGATATCGTGAAACATGAAAACACCAATTCTGAGTTTTTAAGACGACGTTCCGAGGTAAAATATCCATTGCCCCTCTAGTTTCTAGAGAGAGATCAAGAAAGTTTGACACACACATGGATGTGTCCATCTTCTGAATGATGTGAGGCTTAGATCCCCTAAGCAGGGAGGACAGGACTGTGCTGTCTCCTTAGAGTTAAACACTAATAAAACACAGCAATTAGAAAACACACATACAGAAAAGCCAGTGCCGTCCACGGGAACAGTGCCATAACCAATCCTCACCTTGCTTCCGGACCGGCATTTTCCCCCAGAATCAGGAAGAGGGCACACACCTGTAAAACAGAAATCGGAAAAGAAACAGAACTAAAGAAGAGAAGAGAATCGTGGTGAACCTGGCACTCCCCCCCGCCCCCTACATCTCACATCGGAAAAACTCCGGGCCCCACCTGCCCAACCCACCTGGGCAAAGTTTTCCCCAGTGAAAGGCAGAGCCTGGAACCCCAGCGGTGCCAGGCAGGCTGGCGAGCTTTCACCTGCGGGGCGACCCCTCTGCCCACGGAGCGCGGACCCACGTCGGCTCCCCAATCCTCCTCGAAAGCCGCCCCCTCTCCGACCCGCACCGAAAGCCGAGACGGGAGGCCACCCCTCCCTCGGCACCGGCGCGCAGACGCCCCGCCGGCGACGGGGATGGGACCGGGCGCTCCGACCCTCAGCCCCGAAGCCGGCGCGGCGGTCAATCGCTCCGAAGGAAGGCACCGGCGGCGAGCGCCACCGCCGGCGCCCGGGCCCCCTCCTCCTCGCTGCTGTCTCCCGGCCGGGGCTCGCTTTCCTCTGGGCGACTTCCAGTGGGGG